CCCTCCTATCTTCATTATGTGGAATGAAGTGGTTCTGCGGTGGGTCAGCTCAGCCCATTTATAGGACTCAAATGGACGTTGGCTGCCTCGTGGTCGTTCAGTGGAAAGGTCATTTCTGTTTGTTATCGTTGCCAACGACAACGATTCCTGTGATGTGGATAAGTTTGACTATCTCGTCAGAGATTCACTCAGCGCCGGTATCCCGATCCCTCTGAACATGGTACATATTTGCAAGAGATATTTTCAGAGCGAAGACAAAAAAGTGATGAACATTCATTAATTCTTTGAGATACCGTGCATTCGATTGTCATTGACGGCCTTCGTAGCCTGAGGAGGGGGGGAGGGGTAAGCGTTTGTCAGCATACCAAATCCTCCTAAATGTATACGTTTGATTGTCAACACCCTGCAAGCCTTGTTATCACCTGTCAAGCACCCTGCATACTCGGGGGAGCCAAAAAATACTGGCATGCAGATTGTTTTAACCCATGCAAGTTGTTGTGGTGCAAGCGCGCATTGGGTGTTAGGTTCCAACACGACTCCTTATGGGAGCTGAATGCCCGGCGCGTTCCATGAAGGTATTAGTCGGTACCACGCAATTTATCTATTTTGCTGTTTTCAGCACAGCCTTGAAAGATTAATGGAAAATGCTAAAGTACTGCCGGATCCCCACCGTGGATATCACCGGATATGCTACGCTAAAAAGGTTTGATCTGATTCAGTTTTGGGTGATTCACTCTGAAGAAACTGCCCACTCATTTCCTGAGGTCCCTGCAATGTGCGAAGCGAATGGGTCCGCAGCTGTAGTAGCGTGTCACTTTCTCCGCTCAAAGTGCTCGGAAATAGGGGTATAGAATAGCGCTATCCGAGTGCCGTCTCCATGCTGCGCCCGCGCTATAATCAAGAAGCAGCCCTTGCGTCAATACCAGGGTCTTTCAGCGAATCACGTACTCAGCGGTATAGGACAGCCAGAAATGAGAGGGCGCAGGCAAGTGGAGCGTCTGGTCATAGTAGTTGTGTGGCTGGTCGTACAGCAGTGCCACTACCCTCCAGCCTTGTTCCCGTACACTTTTAGGCGGACAAAGTAGCGCGCTACTGTGGACGCATTTCCCCCACACACCAAAAACGAGGATTCACGGAAAGAGTGTCAGTGTGTCCCAGTAGTCCATAATGCTCGTTTTTATTCTATAATTTACAGGTCGCGGATATCG